CGAGCCGTCCCCTGGCTGCCCCGGGCGAAAGGTGCGCCCCAGCCGGGAGCCCTTCGGAACTCTGATAGCCCGGGGCTGTGTTTTGTAGTACCGGCGCCACCGGAGCATCTTGGTACGAGGCACTGGCAGTGCCAATGGCTCTGTCACGGCGAGGGCTCTCGCCCGGGCGGGGGGGGGTTTTTTTTTTTCCCAGGAGGTGAAAGCTCCGCCCGACAGAGAGCTGCGGCTGCGCTGCTGCATGTTGCCTACCTCTGCAGGGCAGCTCTGGGCACTGTATTGGAAAAAGAAAGTGCGAAGGAGACCGGCTATAGCAAAGGACGGCTGTAGAGAAGGTTTTCTGACTAAAGCATTGTGCGAAAGAGACTCGGGACAACGAGCATGCTGTCGTCTTGTTACCGAAACTGAAAGAACTCCTGAAACACACAAACTCTCTTTAGAGAGGAGACATTGTTTATTTCAGAGTTGTGCAAGGCTGGGTGCTCGGTGGATTTCCACAAATCAACTACACCACCTGTAAAAACTACACCGTATTTATGCTAATACATGATTAGCTAAACCCCACCTAAAACTACATTAATTGGTACAAAATTACTTAATCTACTTTCTATTGGCCTGTTAATTTGACGCTTTGCATGCTAATGAGTCCGCATGCACAGTGTTCTCTTTCTTTTGGGTCGGTGGTCCTTGAGTCGGTGATCACGGTCTCTCCCTGCTGCACCTTTAGCAAAGTTTTCACAGTTTTTGCTGACTTCATCCTCATTAGGCAACGGTCCAACATTTGGCACCTCTTTGGTCTGGATTATTGGACTCTTACTAGTCTTGTAACTTCTTCTCAAGGATATGGTCATTAGGGAATGCAAAGAAATTGATTTAGGAGTCCTGCAGTTAATCCTCCCCGATGGTTCCCAGGACCAAGTGTTTGGCTGGACAAAATTTATGTTCTCCTAGTCTTACGATGTTGCTTTCTGTGAAAACATCCCCAACACTTGGTCCCTGTTTTGAAGACCCAGTTATTGTCATTTACAAGCTGCTTTCTTTGATACTCAAAAATTCAGCTCTCTATGCAACATTCTGGTGCTGCATTCCCCTTGTGTCAGGGGGCATAGGACGTTGCAAGTTGCTTTGACACATCCTAAATAGATAAACAGCTCATGCCATTTCAAATTTGGTAATATCTGAATAATTAAAAATGCAGATCAAAATTAGTTGTCAAAATGGGTATTTAAAAGTCACAATATATGAAACTTTCTGCTTCCAGCCCAGGTTGTGAAATGTCACGTGTATCTGTGAGGATCAGAGAAGCATAGGTACAACTCATACTTGTGCCTCTGCTGGCTGGGCCCTGCTCCACACAAATTCTTTTTGAGGGTGCAAAGTGCCAATGAGAGGACACACAGAAGTTGTATAGCAGGGCTTTGTTTTCTGTGCACTGAAAAGACATCTCTTTTTTTTTTTGTCAGAAGGAAATATGAAAGGAGCAAAGGAACAGCAGAGGCAATAGCAAGAGCAAAGTTAGAAGGTTGGTTACAGTTTTGGTTCCAGGGGTCCAGATGGCCTGGAATGGGTGCAGGTAGGGTGAGTGCAGCCCAGGGGGCAGTCCAGGTCTGTGGTTGTAGTGCTTAATTTGACTTTATAAAATAAACTTCAAGGAAATTACGTGATGTAAAGTAATGCTTGGATGCTGCACAGTGCTCGCCAATTGTCTGGGCATGTGACTGTGCCTGGTGAGCTGGGAGCTTGGAGATGCCAGATAACATCGGGCATTTTTCTCACAGAATCAGCTGGAAATGTGTAGTTCCAAAATAACCCTTGTATGTAGGTCAGAAAGGTAAAACTGCCAAGTAAGACGACTGTAGCTGACTGTAGCTAATATTTAGAGCCGTTTTTTTCAGTGCTGCTGAACGTCCCAATCTAGAGCAGCTCTTCCAAGGGGAGGGAGCAGCAGCCATCAGTGCCTGACTCCACCATATCCTGCTTGCGGAGGAGGCGGTCCTGCGGCACAAGCACGAGCTGGGAGGTAGGAATGCTTTTGACTCAAGGGCCGGGCCGCTCCCGCGGGTATGGAGCACGGCGAGGCGGAACTCCTGTGTGCGGAACCTTTGCGGCCGGCTGCTGGAGTCGCCGGGGCCGTTCAGCTGGTGGCCT